TGAAAGTCAAATTTTCGACTTAAAATTGTTACTATTTGCGAATACATTCATACTGGAATGGCCATATATTATTAATTTTTTTCAAATAGTAATAGAATATAATATGTTTAAAAAGAAAACCCATAAATTTATGATACTTTAAAAAATTGCGTATCATTCATAGTTTTTAATTAATTTTTGAAGAAAGACAATTTTGTGCAAACTTGCAAAAACGCTCACTTCACTTCAATTTATATTAAATAAATTATAAAGTGGTAATGATAATTTTCATTAAAGGTGGTAAAAAAGTAGAGACCAATTTTGTCTTTATCATAACTTGCTCAATTTTTTTACTAGGAATTTCCGTAAAAATAAAAAAAACGAGGGTTGCACTCCTGGAGTGCCGGCAGAAGTGAAAACTTGAATATTAACGTTGTGCATTTTTGATATTTTGGAATGGTTAGGGAATAATTTTGCACGAATTGCTTTAAATAACAGTATAAAAGTACTATCATTTATGTGGTACAATACAATATTTTTTTATTGCGCTAGCGTACACAAACATGACAATTTATATTATAACTTACATGAGTCACATTTAAGTGCACCTAGCGACATCTATTGTAAAAAAATCAACTTGCATGAATCACATTTAAGCGCACCCAGCGACATCTATTGTAAAAAAATGCATTTTCTTTGCAATAAAGCTGTCATCTGGACGTCCTAATTAGAGACATTTTTACAATACGATAAAATAAAATATTACTACGTTTCGTCCAATATATTGAAAGTCAACAACCTTTCCAATTTTAATGTTTTCGTCTAGCGCCACGTCGCACGCTTAAAGGAATACTGACCTATTTTTACTTACGACATACAGACAAAAAGTTGTCCTAAAGCCATCTATATTATTCTATTCACATAGCTTCATAAATATCGCTGTCATTAACACCTTACTTTAAAATTAGACACATACCTAGTAAACAAAAAAATGTGTAAACACCTCAATATTTATTGTACGTTATTCAACGTTGAACTAAGTACTAATATACGTTGAACTAGGTCAGTATTCCTCAAAGAGTAATATAAGTTTAAGGGAAGTATTCCTTTGAGCGTAAGACGTGTCCTGACGGGAGTTTAACATTTTTTACCCATTACAAAAAAAAGTGTACAATGCCGCTAAAGAAGTTTTTACTTCAAAAAGAAAAGTTTATAAGCATAAAAAAAATGCGAGTTTTTTTTGATATTTCACGTTGAAACTTTCGATTTTGGCGTTTTACGAATAAGAACCAACCTTTAGCAAGCTATTAAGCTAGCCTTTTACACGGTTTGTATTCATTAAAGTAGTATAAACCCTTTTTTTTATTATATTTTAAAGGTATTGTTTTACTTTTAAGATTTTTTTCAATACTTATTCTCAGAGTTACTGATGAAAAACCGTCTGAAAACGTGGTTTTTCTTGTTGAAAAATTGCAATATACGAGTCTACTCTCGAATGGGTCGAAAAGTAGCAATCCATTGTTCCAAATCCAAAGTTGTAGTCAAACTAGCCATTCTCATATCTACTTATTGACGTGACAACGTCTTAAATTAGGTTGCGGCTGGGAGTCACTTATGAAAAAGTGTAACGCTCGGTAACGTTACGATGAGTCTCTCGTGTTAAGTTTAAGTTTACATGTACAATGTTTTAGTAAACAAAATATATTTCTATAGTTAAAATTTGTGCAATTCTTATTTTCATTCAATTCCTTGTTCCTATTGTGCAATTTAATTATATTCATATCAATAAATATTCTACCGAGAAAAAGACGTTGTCACGTAAAATCTTCGCCCGTAAAACCGACTTTACAGGCAACCATTTTTTTATGCTAAAGGGTAGTAAACTAGCTAAGGCCATCATAAGGCCTATAGACGTTAGCGTTACAAACAATATCACCCGCGCTGTTGCCTTCCCTGACCCAATCCCCTACCCCATGGAGACCTGGAACCTTACTCATAGACTGAAACACAAGACCACGTCTTCAGTAGGGGAGGTTACGTCCCAAGTCGGGCGATCCAATTCGAACGGGAAATCCGCTATGCCCTACTTCTCTTGATGAAAAATCATCAGTGCAATACTGTAAATCAAAACAATCAATTTTGACTCTATTATTATATAAAATAAAACTAGTTTTAACGGGTTAATGCACGAACTTTATTTATTTATTGACGTTTCGCAGCCTTTTCAGGTCTGCATAGTCAGAATACTGATCTTTTTTTAATAAATTATTTTTTATCCCCGACAAGGGGTGGCATACACCCCCAGGGTAAGAATAACCCTCGCCTCATGGACAACTTTGAAATAGAAGGTAAGTAGAACTTACAGCAAAGTTGGCCGCGGTAGCATAATGGTCAGTGCATCCACCCGGATAGAGGAGGGTGCGGGTACGAGTCGAGGTTTTTCTAGTAAAATTTTCTTTAGATTTAAACATGTAGCATTTAACTGCTACATGTTATGCTTAAAAAATAAAAGGACGAACAATGTTAGAAATTTGGACGTGTAATATATAGCAAAATGTTATATAATTTCGCGGGAATTGACTTCAGGCCGGCAAGGTGAGGACGACTGCTGCAGCGCCACACCACACCTTCAGCCGCTTCATCTATCTTCGCGACTGGACTCCACTTACACTTGACATCTGGTGGGGGAGGGTAATTAGTTGCGCCTCGTATAAAAAAAATACCGAAATTGATCTTGAATTTTTCCAAAGATATTAATCAGAGGATAACACCATTTTCAAATATTGTCGTATTGTATTAAATGAAGAAGTCGTATTGCCAAGTCAGGATCTGGGTAGGTACCTAAAATCGAGGAAACTTTCTGATAAAAAGGCGACCAAAAAGCTTAAGGCTCGCCTGATAGAAAGCGGTCACCAAAGCATATTGACCCTTGCGATACCAAAAATATCACTCGCGCCGTTTTACCCTGCCCCAATCCCCTACCCTGCCGGAACCTTCCTCAATAATAGAAACACAACAACACTAAAAGGTTGAGACAATGTGATCCTTTATAAGGTGGATATACTTTCCCAGACGAGTGCTCCGATATGAGTGGAAAATCCGCTATCTATCTATGTATTTTACCCCTACTTCTCTTAAATTCTCTTTTTAGTTGAAAACTCCTGCAGGAACTACTTAAAAGTAAAAGGCACATGCACATCTATAAATAAATTTATTTACTTTTAAACTAAAAGCAAAGCAATTTCGTATTTTTACGGTTACTTGTTACTAGTCCACTCGCTTACGGAAAGCATACTATTTGGCGAAGCAGAACTCTAATTAAACACTATACGACACAGTTCCTTTAAGCAAGTAAGCAGAGTCGACATCATTAGCAAGGTACATTACCGCCGTCAGACTAAACGATTGATCTTTATGAGTGTGGCGAAAATTGGAACTAACGCCGGCACCGCTGCCGTCTTTGTAAACGTCATAATTTTTTGTATGCCATTTAAGGACATTTTCGATATACATCGATGCATCGAAAACATCTTTGCCTTAGAGCATTTATGACGTGGTATAATATACTCAAAGATGTTTGCAATGAAAAACATCGAATCGATCCGATGTTTTGAAAAGCTTTCAATATGGTACTCGATCGATTCATCAATGTTTTAAAAAAACATCTAATTGGTAATAAAGTTTGACCACGTACTGATAATATCCTCTTTGGTTTGACCTCAGTGAAAAAATCGAGAGAGCCTTACAGTATTCGCGTATGATGTGTAACATTTGAAACCTCACCTTATATTAGTAAAAAAAAAGAAATAAAACCTACTACAAAAGGAATAAGACATTTGAACATTATGTTCTAAAATCAAATCAAATTTCACGAAATCACTCCCACAAATTGCAGGAAATCGAGAGGAAATATGTATACATTCATAAAGATTTTGGTCGCACTATAGTCTGATGACGGTAATTTACGTTAATGTTAACGTTGCTAATGGTGTCTAAACTTTAACAAGATTATCTAAACTAAAAACATCAGTCTGTCCTTTTCATTCTGTATTGAGAGAATGACAGGGATACATTGGTGTCGATACCAGCGTGATTCTCTAAACTTAAAACTAAATTTAACATCAGTCTCTCCTTTTCATTCTGTATAATGAATGACAAGGATACACTTGGTGTCGATTCTAGCATGATTCTCTAAACCTAAATTTAAATTTGACAGCAGTATATCCTTGTCATTGGTGTCAATTCTGACACGATTCTCTAAACCTAAACTTAAATTTGACAACAGTGTATCCTTGTCATTCTCTATACGGAATGAAAAGGAGAGATTGATGTTAAATTTAGTTTTAAGTTTAGAGAATCACGCCAGAATTGACACCATTCTCTATACAGAATGAAAAGGAGAGACTGATGTTAAATTTAGTTTTAAGTTTAGAGAATCACGCCAGAATTGGCACCACTTTTATCAAATTTAAGTTTAGATTTAGAGAATCATGCCAGAATCGACACCAGTGTTGTCAAATTTAAGTTTAGCTTTAGAGACTCATGCCAGAATCGACACCAATGACGATTCTTTCTTTTTTTTATTGATTTTCCCACTCCTTTTCATTCTGTATAGAGAATGACAAGGACAGGCTGATGTTTTTAGTTTTAGGTTTACAGAAATATGCCAGAATCGATACCAATGTAAAGTATGTCTAAATATTTGTATTAAACACACATTTTGTACATTTTTTATAAATTAATTCTACCAAATGGAGCGTAGTCGTGTCGATTATCGTGTATCGAATACTGCGTAATTTAATACGACCTTTTGAACTATTTTTAATCTATTTTTTTGACAGATTGACAGAAACACAAACGACATCTGTCTTTTTTATCAAAGTTTCTCTGTGCAGCTTCGTAATGGTGGTGTACAAAAGTGAACATTGACTGAGTTCTTCAATTTTTATTTGTTTATTGTAATATAAATAAGTATTAATAATATTTTAAATGCAGTGGCTACGGCCATAACATGCTTTCTTATGTCGGGTGTAGCTAAAACAGCAGTCTCGGTTGAGGAGGGTGGAAATCAGTGCAGAAAACGTTCCCTACATACGAACGATCAGTGCAATAATAAAAGATCGAAATCAGACGAAATGAGTGCCAACGAGAAGAAATCCAATTTCTCAATGTTAACCTCAAACTCTAATGGGACTGTGATGATGATGGCTAAACCTGGAGCATCAGCCAAAAAGCTGGTGATAAAGAATTTCAAAAGTATGTTTACGATTTATTCGTCATGTCATTCCTAACCTAAATGTCACTTGGGAAGTAATTATTAATTGTTTGTTACAGGCAAACCGAATCTTCCAGAAAATTACCAAGAGACCACATGGAGCAAATTAAGAGAGGCCGTTATAGCTATCCAAACCTCAAAGGCTATTGCCTACTCTTTAGAAGAATTATATCAAGCAGTAGAAAATATGTGCAGTCACAAGGTATGAAAAATCTTATTTTGAATTTGTTTACTGCAAACTGTTATCAAATTTTTGTAACAATAATTCATGCTAAAAATCTTCAAATGGTCATCAATCTTGCTATTTATATGTAGCACTCATAATATAGTTAAATCTATTTAAAAAATTTCAGATGGCATCGCAGTTGTATGTAAACTTGACAAACCTAGTGGAAGCCCATGTTAAAGCAAATATAGAACAATTCCTATCAGAAAGCATGGATCGGCAAGTGTTCCTTAAGCGCATGGATGATTGCTGGCGTGCTCATTGCCGCCAAATGATAATGATCCGTAGCATCTTTCTTTATCTTGATCGTACATACGTACTTCAAAATCCTAGCATACACTCAATATGGTAAAGTATCAGGTTTTTCTCAATAATAATATATAACATAAGCAGATAGTAACTGCAATTTTATCAAAATGAGTTTAGTGGTTTAGGACATAAACCTGGATAAAGCTACATTTATTATAAGTTTGGATAAAACTGGCAAACAGGTTATCATTGATTGTTACTTTTAAAACCCTTTTTTAATTTAAAAAACATAGCTTGTCAACTAATATCTGGCGCATTATGTGTACCATAATTTTAGTACTGGTACCATAATCCAGGTGCTCGTACTATGTACCATATATTCCCATTAAGTATAGAAATTTTTTACTATCACTAGCAGCAAAAGAGCAGTTTTTTAACAAAAGCCAAAAGAGAGAGGAAGAAGAAGAGGTACTAATCTAGGCAGACCAATCTCTTGATTCTTTAGTAGGCCAGGCATCTAACATCCTGGACCCTTAGAGATAGTAAAATCAAACCCAGTATACTGACCTCTGCAATAAAGGTTGTAAATGATTTATAGTAATGAGTATTACTTGGAGCTAAACTGAACCTTTAAATGCTGATGAGTTTCTTGCGCTCATCCTTCTCATCAGCTAAAACCTGTCCTGAATGGGTATATATCCAATTTGAATAAGGTATAATTTCATTACACTGTTATTCCTCAAAAGGAATCATAATTTTGTATATCAATTTAAAAATATAATAGCATTTTATCAAATAAAAATAAACATAACAAAGATTATATTTTAATATTGAAGAATGGTGCCTTATGATAATTATACTCTGCTGGATAATAAATATAAATAGGTTTGCACTAGTTGACATAAAAACCTACCGGAACTACAAATCTATTTATACGTTTAATGAATATGGGAAAATTTTGTTTCCCTATAATATTTTTCCTCCCAGCTCTGAATTCTGGTTTCCTAAGGATCCCAAAAATCAAATATCTCCAACGTGGGATACCCTAATAATGTATAATAGCCTTAATATTGGTCCTTAATAATTAGTTTTTTTGTTATCAACAGGGACATGGGTCTTGACCTATTCCGGCACCATATAGCAATGAACACTCTTGTTCAGACCAGAACTGTGGATGGCCTATTATTACTAATTGAGAAGGAGCGTGGTGGCGACGCAGTAGACATTTCACTACTCAAGAGCCTACTGAGGATGCTCTCTGACCTACAGATTTACCAGGATGCCTTTGAACAGAAGTAAGTAAAATGGGTTCATAATTCAATTTTATTTATGTATTAAAATTTTTTCAACAATCTTTACCAAACAATTATCAACCAGAACTATAACCCACAGTGTGGATTGGGTATCAATGACTATGTATATGCAGCCAGCATCAAAAGATTAATCTGCCTTCTTTGAAAGAGACAAATAGAATGCACTGCACTAACAATCTCCACAATATTAATACATTATTAAAATATTTTACAATGAATAAGAATATGCATTAGAAATTACAAATTCAAAAAACAGTTCAGTATTTATATAGATTGAAAAAAGAATATATTATATTTTTTTGAACGAAGATTGGAATGGCTCAGTTATTGTTTCTTTTTTTATAAAAAAAATTTACAATTACCATTTAATTTTTCAATAATTGAGGATTGACAACATAAATATACTTATTTTAAATTTATATCTTAAGAAAATTTAAATGTAAGTAACTGAACTTAGCTAAGGGAACTAGCAAACTGGATTTGCACCAAAGCCTTTGAAAGCACTGAATAAATAAATTCAATAAATTGATTAATATTAAAACACTCATACCAATAAGCCTAACCCCAAAGTAAGCACTGTAAGTATTGTGAGAATGGTTTGCTTAAAAATAATAATTAAATATTTTAAGTTTCCCCTAGGAATGACTAGTAGAGAGAAATTAATTGTCTGTAATTTATTTTGTCAACAGGTTCCTGCTCGCGACTGAACGTCTGTACGCGGCGGAGGGCCAGCGGCTAATGCGCGAGTTGCCCGTACCCCAATACTTGGCGCACGTCGAGAAACGGCTGCGGGAAGAGAACGAACGACTGCTGCACTACCTCGACCACTCTACCAAGTAAGGAATAAGGCTCAATTTTGTGTAGCACTTTATAGTTTTTTTTTTTTTTTTTATAGTTAGGTCCGACAAATGACTCCACCCCACCTGATGTTAAGTGAAGGTGAAGTCCAGACGCGAAGATAGCTGATACAGCAGTTCTACCTGCCACACCAGCCATCCTCACCCTGCCGGCCTGCATGTTGCTTCTTCACGCCTCTTTCTGGATCCCAGGTTGTAAGAGGGAGGGAACACGTGAGCGGGCAGAGCATTCCATTTACGGATAGTGCGACAAAGAAATGAGTCACCAAATTTCTTTGTACGCGTTGGAATTGTGGCCACAGTAAGACGGTGACAACGTAGGCCAGCGCGCGTGGTCCTCTGAAGGAAAGGGGAAGGTGGGATAAGAGAGAATAACTCCTCAGAACACTCGCCGTGGTACAAACGATAGAACGCGCTTAGTGACGCCACGTCACGGCGTAATTGAAGAGGCTCAAGGTGTTTAGTCACCTCCTCATCGCCTATGATGCGGATTGCGCGCCGCTGTAACCTATCCAAAGCATCGAGCAAGTACTTGGCGGAGCCATCCCAGAGGTGCGAGCAATATTCCACGCAGGACCGCACTTGCGTTTTGTACAACAAGCACAGTTGATCGGGCGTGAAAAAACGCCGCACCTTGTTCAGGACTCCGAGTTTGCGTGAAGCTGTTTTGATCACGGTTTCGATGTAGTCCTTTGGATTCAGGTCTGAGCGAACTTCCATACCGAGCATGGAAATGTTGCTCTGCAGCGGTAGTGTTGTGCCCTGAAGAGATGGAAGGGGAAGGAATGGCGATGTTTTTGCCGTGAAAGCGCAAGCCTTAGTTTTCTTGGCATTGAACCCAACCAAGTTCCTGGTACCCCATTCGGAAATGTGGTCCAAAGCCTGATAGAGTTCAATGACAAGATTTTCCCGTTTCTCCCTGGTTACTGCCTGCCCAGCCGCTGCTTGTCCGAGATACCCCGCATGCACTGTACTATCGTCTGCATAGCAATGAATATTCCCAAGAGGAATCAAGTCATTGATATGCAGCAGAAAGAGAGTGGGGGATAGGACGGAGCCCTGGGGAACGCCGGCATTCACTGACATGAACCGCAAACTGCTACCATCCGTAAGGACACGAATTCTACGCTCATGCAGGAAGTCAGCTACCCAAGAACAGAACTGGGCTGGCAGACCGTATGCCGGAAGCTTGGAGAGAAGGCTTTTGTGCCAGACCCTGTCGAACGCCTTGGCAATGTCAAGGCTGATAGCCAACGACTCGCCACGCTTGTCGATAGCCTCACCCCAGATATGAGTTAAGTACGCTAGAAGATCACCCGTCGATCGTTTCGGTCTAAATCCATATTGACGATCATTAATCAGGGAGTGATCCTCTAGGTAGCGGGTCAGATGGTTATTAAGGACCTTTTCTAGAACTTTACATAAAACTGAGGTGACTGCTATTGGCCGATAGTTTGCCGGGTCTGAGCGATCCCCTTTTTTGGGCACCGGTTGCACGTTAGCATCTCTCCAAGTCTCCGGCACACGCCCCAAAGAATACGAGCATTGGTACAAGCGCGTGAGCACGGGAGACAACTCCGCTGCACATTTTTTAAGTACTACTGCTGGGATGCCATTAGGTCCACTAGCTTTCCGGACGTCGAGTGATTGCAATTCGGCACGAACCTCACGCTGCCTGATTTTAATATCAGGCATCGTTGTGCCACAGTGAGGTAATGATGGTGGCAGTGCATTGCAATCATCGATTCGGGAGTTAGCCGCAAAGAGTTTTGCCAGTAAATCGGCTTTCTCCTGCGGCTTATGAGCTAGTGTTCCGTCTGGGCATCTCAGAGGTGGCAGCGAGGGCTGGCAGAAGTTTTTTTGCACGGCCTTGGCCAAACGCCAGTAGCTACGGGAGCCCGCAGGATGCGTTATAAGTTCCTGGCCAACACGTGCAACACGCTGGGCATCCGCTCTGATGTAAGCCTTCTTACAGGCCTTGGAAGCAGAATTGTAGGCTGCTTTGAGTGAATCGACCCCGGGATCCTTGAGAGCGCGGCCTCTGATCCAAGCACGATATGCCGCTTGCTTACGCAAAGCAGCTTCAGCACAGTCGTGATTGAACCAGAGGCTATGTGTGCCCTTACTGATGAGATCAGAATGAGGAATATAGTATTCCATACCCATTATAAGCTCCTCAGTAATGGCAACGGCACTGCCCGATAGGTCCCTGTCACTGAAGCAGCGCTGCTTCCAAGGGACGGACGCAAAGTAATCACGCATACCGTCCCAATCTGCCGACCCATAATGCCAGATACGGCGCTTGACCACTGCTGGACGCGGAGGCTTGGCCTGTGGTGCTTTGGCAGATATCAGGCAGTGGTCGGACGAGCCCAGGGGGGCTCTTACCACAACCTGATAGCCCTGTGGATGGGTCGTGAGCAGAAGGTCCAGTAAAGAAGGCGCTTGACTTGGAATATCTGGGATCCTGGTGGGCTGATCAACCAGTTGCTTCAAGTCATGCGTGAGAGCGAATGTGTGAGCAGAGATCCCTGCATGGTCAATTTTGGAGGAACTTAACCACAAATTGTGGTGAGCATTAAAGTCCCCCAAAAACACCAATTCTGCATTGGGAAATTGCTCCTGCGCGTCATCTGCTGCCCGACTAAGGTGATCAAAAAGTCGAGTTGTCTCAACATCACCGGTGTGGGATCTGTAGAGGCACACGTAGACTCTGGCCCGGGGGCCAGAGTCGACGTATACCCCCAGCATGGAGAAGGAGGGATCTTCCAAGCAGCGGAGACGGCGACAACAAATATCCGCCCGAACATACAGGCATACACCGGCTTTCGCTTTGAAGGACTCTTCAAGCACGTAGCAGGGATAATTAAGGTAGCTTATGTCAGCAGGCGGAAGTATTTGTGTCTCCGTCAGGAACAACAATGCTGGCCGTGCTGTCTCGAGATGGTGGTGGACGCTGTCCGCGTTGAGGTTAGAGTGGAGTCCGCGTATGTTGCAGAACTCGACCTCAAACAGCGTTGAAGGCGTGGGGGTGTGCACCGCTGTACGTCCAAACTTTGTTATTGAGGCTGCCATGGTGGAAGTGAAAAAAAAAGAGACGCGAAAACGAGCGGACGCCGTCGCGAAGAGTCCGGGCAAATAAGGGGGGTTTGTCTTCCCGATTGACTGCCTGCAGTGGAAATGCGCCGACCCGCCGGACGGAAGGGCCCCCGCACCCCCCCGGGAGTGGCCGCCGGGACCCCACGCCCCGGTCACCAACCGGCACGACGGTCCACCCCGAGATTATGCGTGACATGATGGGGCAGCCTCGCGAACTGGTTAGGAACGCTTGGGCCCCTGTACTGTGCCACGGGCGGCCAGCGGGACAGCCGTTTCTACGGGTCTCCCTGGCCGACGGGTCGATGCAGTCCTCCCGGCATCGGTTCCACGGATGCCTCCCCTGGACCGAATCCTTCGCGACAACTTCCACTCGAGCTCTGGTTGTACGCTGGCTGACCCCGAAACGCGCGAGAAGCACTTCACGGGTTTTTTACCATGCGCACGGTGGTAACAAACCAGGCGGGTGTTAGGCACCCTACCACCAGAAGAGCGGATGGAAGCTCCGACATCCCTTAGTCGCTTCTTACGACACCCACGGGAACAAAAGGGGCGGTGAGTTGTATTCTTTCTCCGTCACCGCACGGATAAAAACTATAACTAAAATAGTAACTGATATAGGCATTATACCTTGTACCACCAAATATACAACTGCGGGGGGAGAACGAGCGACTGCTCCACTACCTTGACTAACTCTACCGAGCAAGGAATAAAGCTCAATGTTGTGTAGCAATTTATAGTGGCTGATATAGGCGTTATACCCATAGAGCAATATATACGACTGCGGGAGGAGAATGAGCGACTGCAGCACTACCTCGACCACTCTACCAAGTAAAGAATAAGGCTCAATGTTGCGTAGCACTTTGGCTGATAAACGAATTAGAAACAATATGAAATACGAACTGCACCAAAAAGTGTTACCACGCAAACTGCGATCATGGTTTGGGACGAAAAAACTTCAATACGCCGTTCATATTGGTTAGGATTTCCGTTTAACATTATCTTGCCCATTCAATGAATAGCCGAATTCATTTGTAGCTATTTAATTTGTCAAAGTATTTTGTTTTGCCTGTGTGCGTGTCGCGTTAGTATTGAAGTTTAAGAGGCCTTTTTAAGAGAGTAATGCTTCCATATAATTTCTAATTGGTTGTGGCTGATACGGGTGTTGTACCTTGTACAACAAAATATACGGCTGCGGGATAACGAGCGACTGCTGCACTACTTCGACCATTCCACCAAGAAAGCGAGAAGGCTCAATGTTGTGTAGCATTTTACAGCATTCCATCGACGCTGATATACGCGTTGAACTTGGTGAAACAAAATATGACGTTGTTTTATTTTCTTTAAAATACTTATTACGTATTTTGCTCTGAAATAGAATCACGTGAGGTATTGATATCTTTACAACGCAGAAAAGGTAAAAGTTATGCCACTATACCAGGTATAAGCAAACTATGGCCCGCGGGCCATTTCGGGCCCTGGAATGGTTATAATCTGGCCCGCGATCATGAAACATAAATCATAGGTCTCACCGAAAGTACCATCCCGGGCCCTCGAATAGTTAAAATCTGGCCCGCGATCATAAAACATAAATAAAAGGTCTCACCGAAAGTACCGTCCCGGGCCCTCGAATGGTTAAAATCTGGCCCGCGATCATGAAACATAAATCAAAGGTCTCACCGAAAGTACCATCTCGGGCTCTCGAATGGTTAAAATCTGGCTCGCGATCATGAAACATAAATCAAAGGTCTCACCGAAAGTACCATCCCGGGCCCTCGAATGGTTAAAATCTGGCCCGCGATCATAAAACATAAATAAAAGGTGTCACCGAAAGTACCATCTCGGGCTCTCGAATGGTTAAAATCTGGCCCGCGATCATGAAACATAAATCAAAAGTCACCGAAAATACCATTTTGCACATGTCTCGACAAGGACCACGCCACTGCTGAACCTTGTACCTATTAACTGCGCAGCAAACTCAGGCACGTATTTACCTTGTTGCTGAGCTGCAGGGTGATGGGCATTCGCTACTGCGCTATATTTTGATTTAATTTAAAAATTCTAGGTCCGGTGCAAATCGTATGACCTGAGCGAAAACTTTGCCAGCCTCAGATTAATATTGTAAATATGGCACGATAAGGAAAAAGATGGTTCATCCCCGCGCTATATACAAATGTATATACTTCTTCAGGTGTTATTATCCTTTTTCTTTTTTTTTTTTTATGTTGGAAAAATGCGTTACGCATACCCCGCCCCGGTTGAGTGGCAGGGTTATGTGGGACTCCTCCTCCCCCCAAATCCCGCCCACCCGCCCAGCCAGACTGCCTGGCTCGGCGGCTGCTCGGGACGAGAGGGGGGCCCTACCCACTAAAAACCCAACAGTGCTCCCTCGTCTGCCGAAACGGGTTTTGTGGGATCCGGATGACGCTCCACGTTACCCCGGCAGAGGTGTTATTATCCTAATTTGTAATGGCACGATTACACTGGGTCGTTAGCCCGAATACGAGTGCCAATGGAATTCGGGTAAACGACTTAGTGTAAATGAACGGAGCCGAGTACGCCCGTATTCGGGAAGTTTTCTTTTTGTTTACCCGACACCGTCTTCCACCCCGTATTCCAGTGTAAATATTGCTGCAGGTGCCCGAATTCGAGTATTGTCTTTCGTGCACCCGAATATGGGCTCACAACTAAATGTAAATGAGGCATAACCTTATTTAAATCAATCCATTCATCAATCTAACTTGATATTAAGGACTTTGAATCCTTATTTCTACTTATATAGGTTTTCTTTAACACCAATTAGAATATTTGTGCTCTATATCCCATTTTGAAGCAACATTGACAGAGTATTGTATTGGTTTGCAGATGGCAGTTGATTCACACTGTTGAGCGGCAGTTGCTCAGCGAACACTTGAGTGGTATCCTGAGCAAGGGATTAGAAGCGTTGATGGACGGGCCGCGTTTATCCGATCTGAGCACCCTGTATAGTTTGTTCAGCCGAGTCAAGGACGGACTCAACGAACTTTGCAACCATTTCAACGCATACATCAAGGTAAAATTATCATCATCATCAGGGGCAGTTCGATACGAGTGGTCATTAATGGCGCATCGTCAGATCTAATTGGTATTAATGCCGGTGTCCCCCAGGGATCTGTACACTCCGCAACTCTATTCTTGCTGCACATTAATGATCTGCTCCTAACTCCCGGTATCTTTGGTATGCAGACGACAGCACAGTCTCGGAGAGATATCTGCCTGATGTTAAGTCTGATGCAGATGTCCGTTCATTAAGGGAGGCGATGGTGGAGGGAGTGAATGCCACCCTAGAAGCTGTTTCCCTCTGGGGTGAAGCCAACTTGGTTGGGTTCAATCCCTCTAAAACGCAGGCCTGACTCTGCTCGGCGAAACAGAGTCCCTTGCATCTGACTCCGACTTTCCTAAATGTCTCCGTGCCGGTTAAAGACCATCTCGAGCTCTTGGGTCTGGACATCTCATCCAGCCTCAATTTCGGCCACTACATTGAGTCCATTGCTAAAACCGCTGCCAAAAAACTTGGAATACTTTCTAAGGCCAGGCGATATTTTACATCTGAGCAGCTCCTTAACTTTTACCGAGCGCAAGTTCGCTCCTACTTGTAGTACTGTTCTCACCTTTGGGACGGATATGCTCGGTATCAACTGGATGCACTGGACTCGCTGGAATCTGGACATCTTCAAGGCCAGAGTGAACAGGCATCTTCTAGGCAGGCGTGAGGACTTTTTTCGTTATTTTTACTAAATACTGGATACTTATTTATGTATATTGTCATAATGTTGTTGCAGAAAAAAGGTCGCACGATAGTAATAGAGCCAGAGCGGGACAAGAGTATGGTAGCGGAATTACTAGACTTCAAGGAACAACTCGACCACGTGGTCTCCGCCTGCTTCCAGCGGAATGAGCGCTTCACGTACTCCGTGAGGGAAGCCTTCGAGCACTTCATCAATCAGCGCCAGAACAAACCCGCCGAGCTCATTGGTGACTACAAACTATCACTCACTATATGACCCACACTACCACACACTATATGACCCACACCTTGTCTATAAAATGAGCGCTTCCCGTACTCTGTGAGAGAGGCCTTCAAACGCTCCGCCAAACAGCGCGGAATCATTTATAGTGATTAGGGCCTGATCTAAAAACGTAATGTTTGGAAGCTGTTTAATACATCCAAATATTTATTTTATGAAATATGTATCAGACCGTCAACACGGTTTTGCTGAAGGTAGATCTACATCAACCAATCTGGTAGCTTATGTAGAGAATCTTATTATTATTCGTAGTAATTACTGATTTCAGTAAGGCATCTGACAAAGTTCCACATTGAATCTTAGTGTCAAAGTTAGAATTCTATGGTTTCAGTAGTGATATGTTGCAGTGGATCTATACATATCTTAAAGATCGTAATTTCTATGTTGTTGTGAATGGCTTTAACTCTGATACCTATACAATTACATCAGGAATACCACAGGGTTCCCATATAAGACTTATATTATTTAATGTATTTATATATGATATTCTTCGCTGTTTCAGTTATGCAACCCCTTTCATTTATGCTGAAGATTTGAAATTAGTAATGACCATTAAATCAAATTCTGATATAGCCTTCCTGCAAAAAGACTTACATAGTTTAAGTGCATGGTGCGATTACAATGGAATGATTCACAATGCGGACAAATGTTGTTTTATTAAATTTACTAGGAAAAAGCTAAATTTTCAGTCGGTGTATACGTTGAAGGGAGTTTTATTATGTGAGTCCAATAGCATAAAAGATTTGAGAATATGAATTGATAAAAAACTGACTTTTATACCTCACTTCATCAGTTTTTTTATACCTCACTTCACTTCAGTCATATATCATAGATCAGTAAAGCTTCACGTATGTTAGGATATATCATCAGATATGGAAAAAAATCCGTGACGCTAAAACTAAAAAGATTTTAGATAATAGCCTTGTAAGAAGCATTCTTGAGTATGGTAGCGTTGTGTGGAGACCACATTACGCTATTCACTCTCTAAGGTGACAACGTATACAGAAACGGGTTTTGTGGCATCTATACTACTCGACAGGCATTAGTAGGGCAGTTTCATCGTAAAAGGAAAGGCTTGATTATTTTCGTATGAGACCATTGTCTCAACGGTAGAGTATTAGATCTTATTTTTCTTTACAAAATAGAGTGTAACCTATTAAATTATCCACAGCTGGTAAAAATAATAATCTTCCAGTACCCACTAGAAATCCACGTTATCCAAAACCTCCCTTTCTTCTGCCGTTCTGATGAACAGTTCTAGGGTTCTAATTCTCCATTCACACGCATGACTAAGTTGTATAATAAAATCTCGTCAGGAGTAGATATTTTCTTGGATACTATAACAAAATTTAAAGTAAACGTTCTCAGCCGTCTAGGTAACTGTTGGATTCTTGGCATGCTAGCAAATTGTAATTGGTAATAGTAACTTAGCTCTTCTTGTTGTGATTTTGTTGTATGAGTGTAAAATTATTTATTTTGTATAGATTGAATGATGTACTTACCTTTAATTAGTTACACATTTAGATATAAACTTGTGTACCTATATTTTCGAATGAATAAAATAATAAAAAAAAATTAGATAATGGTATCGATTCAGGCAAGATTCTCAAAACCTAAACTTGAGTTTGACAACAGTGCATCCTTGTCATTATTTATGCAGAATGAAAACAAGAGACTGATGTGAAATTTAGTTTTAAGTGTCGATAATCATGCCAGAATCAATGAGTCAACATATATTAAGAACTTAACTGGTCTACATCAGTCTATATGTCGAAGTGTTGTCGTACACACTTCTTTAATATTATATGATATGTGCTAAATAACTAAGTCTTTTGTCATTTAAAATTCTATTCAATCAGTCTACTTTTGCGTTTCCTGGATTTCATTAATCGCTTAATTCTCTTGTTTTAGCCAAATTCGTCGACGTAAAACTGCGCGCTGGCAACAAGGAGGCCACAGAGGAGGAGCTAGAAAGACTACTGGATAAAATCATGGTCCTTTTCCGATTCATACACGGAAAGGACGTTTTCGAAGCATTCTATAAAAAAGACTTGGCCAAAAGGCTATTGGTCGGCAAGTCAGCTTCAGTGGACGCGGAGAAATCGATGCTGAGTAAATTGAAGCAGGAATGTGGAGGCGGATTTACCTGCAAACTAGAAGGAATGTTCAAAGATATGGAGCTGTCTAAGGATATCAATATAACTTACAAACAGGTGAGCATAAGATATCTATTTCATTGGATTTTTTTTTCCTTATTTTAATTTTGCGATCAGTTCCACTTTAAGCAAATGTTTTGTGGAATAGGGAATGTGCTTGTTAATTTTAATTTTTATTTCATAGTTTACATTCCCTTAATGAAGTATAAACAAATTCAAAGTTGAATAAATAGTGTAATGTGTCTCAAAAGGTTTTATACGCTCGGCATTTCGAAACTCTTGGTCACCAAGACTTGATTGATGTGAAATCACAGTCACAACAAATAAGTCCACAGTTAGAGGTTAGGTTCATGTGAACATGGTGCTTGTTTTTTGATTTAATTACTACTTAATAACAGCTTCATGAGTAGTAGGGTTAGGTATTTTTGCCAATTTCATTTGATATAGAATAATAGATAGTCTGAATTCTATAACTGAACTTGCCTTGTATTATTGTAGAATATTTCCAAGTTTTTTACTAAGTAAATAGAATCCATTATACCAAACAAATGTTTGTGCTCATCTCATCATACAAAAAGATGCATGATTTTACATAGGTTCTTTGGAGAAGGTTGAAGATTTACCGTTTTATACAATGATAATAAAATAAACCCGTTAAATTAACAAATATTGATTTGATACCTGTCGAAAAAACGACACTACGTACAATAAGTATTTTTTCGCATTTTTCACGGAGCTCTGTTACATTTTCACTTTTCAAAGATCCGCGCGTGACTTTGAACCAAGAAGTGCTTTCGTTCTTGGTGCATGTAGGGGTTTTTAATATCGTTAGTTTTATCAGTCTGTTCAATAGAGGAGAGCGTGGCAGTGTAAAGAATAATAAGAATATTGAATCGTTTTCGTTTGACGCAGCACCTCGCCGGGTCTGGCTCGACGGGCGCCGGCTCAGGGCTCGAGCTGTCCGTCCACGTGCTCACGTCCGGGTTCTGGCCCACATACGCGGTGGCGGAGGCGCGGCTCCCGGGAGCCCTGGCGGCCCATCAGGACCACTTTGCCAAGTTCTACCTCGCCAAGCACTCCGGCCGCAAGCTGCAGTGGCAGCACACGCTCGGACACTGCGTGCTGCGCGCGCACTTCGCACAGGTAACAAGCTCTACCTCGCCAGCACTCCGGCCGCAAGCTGCAGTGGCAGCACACGCTCGGACACTGCGTGCTGCGCGCGCACTTCGCACAGGTAACAAGCTCTACCTCGCCAGCACTCCGGCCGCAAGCTGCAGTGGCAGCACACGCTCGGACACTGCGTGCTGCGCGCGCACTTCGCACAGGTAACAAGCTCTACCTCGCCAGCACTCCGGCCGTAAGCAGTGGCAGCACACGCACCGCACCGTTCCACGTTGACGACGCCATGTCGTGGAGATGTGGACAGGCTCGCACACATACAAACATAACTGCAACAGAAATAATCTCGAAAATAAATCAATATATCGGACTATCAGAAGTAGTTTAGACAGCCAATTGACAACCATTAAAAGCCGTGTGTGTGAATTTTTATCATTAATAAATTAGACAAAAGGCGGCCGAAACTTCGCAAATCAATTATACCCTCACTGCTGGGCACAGGCCTTCGCTATTGATGGCATAGAGAGTATAGAAGCGATGATCCAACACGCGCGCGTGATGCTGAGGTGGATGCTAACGACTGCAGATGCAGCCGCGACCAACTTACGTGCCTTCCGAAGCACGGAGGAGCTCAAGATAATACCCATCCCATAACCGACCACTGCGAAAGTTGCTGAACTTCTGCGCTCACAGACCGAACGCGCTTTACAGTGCGACAAGGATCTTAATGAATATGAGTGACAGTTCAGGAAGGGCGACACTCTACGTAAATGACAAAAAACTATGACGTTTACAAAGACAACGGCGTTAGTTCCAATTTTCGCCACATTCATAAAGATCCTAGTCGCACTATAGCGCCATCGAGCTCCACACCTCCTCACATACACTAACAGTGTCATTCAGACTTAATGGCGGCCGTGAAGTAAACGCAAGTCGCGTCACAGTAAACGAAATCTAAGGTGAAGTAGGCGTGTGCCATTGAACTGAAACCTGCGCACAGTTGCGCTCGCTGCTTACTTCACTACCGTCATTTAATGTTTTAATTACACACACACATATAGTACGATTAGGATCTTTATGAATTAGAGTGACAGTTAAGGATGGGCATCCCTGTCTACGTAAATGACATACAAAATATAACGTTTACAAAGACGCCGGCGCTAGCTCCAATTTTTGCCACATTTATGAAGATCCTTGTCGCACTATACACTTCAACATTATCATCATCATCAGCCTATTAACGTCTCCACTGTCAAGGCACAGACCTTCCCTATTGATGGAAGATTGGGCCATGACATGACCCACTACACGAACCCAGTGCTCATTAGTGTCTGCTGACGACTACAGATGCAACCGGGACCAACGGATTAAAGTACCTTCCGAACATAGAGCAACATGAAAGAGAATAGCCGCAGCGACACACAATTTAATACAAATCATTCTGCCTTTTTTGCGAGCGAGATGGGGGGGGGGGGGGGGTAAACACACAAACGCAGTAAACATATAATGCCATGATATACGCCAAATCCTGCACATATGCATCGCTTTTGCATGCCCAACTCGACAAAGAAGAAAGCTGAGTATGTCTACTTCCCTCCCTGCGCGTCGGCCGTGTTGCTCTATGCTTCCGAAGCGTGAAGGAGCTCTAGATAATATTTTTTTGCACATTCCTCTGATAATAACTTACACGATCGCAATAACCTTTTGCGCCTTCCAACTCTTTCAAATAACTCTGATAAATAATACATCAATTTTTTTTTGTTTCAGGGTAACAAAGAGTTACAGGTTTCACTATTTCAAGCGCTAGTTCTACTACTGTTCAACGACGGCGACAACCTATCATTCGAGGAAATTAAAGCCAACACGAACATAGAGGTATGTATATTTCAAAACTACGTTGTTTATATTTAATAAGATTTATTCTTATTCCTCTAAAAAATTGTCAACGCGCTGTGGTTTCAGCCAGCGTCGCTTTTATGAAATGTATGGATAACAAATTTGAATATGTCTTGTCAATAGTTAAATACATATACAGCAAGAGAAGAAATTGAATGTAACACCCTTTTATTTGAATGCTTGAGATTGTAATAATTATAAACAAAGTATAGAATAACTGATTTCTAATAGATACGATGTTTTTTTTTATAAATTTTCTGAACTGAGTACGTTAGTTTTATGATCCAATGCGAACTTTCGATGAGGTTTTCTGTAATGACGGGCGCCAGGTGGCAGTACTGAAACGAAAGGTCTACTCATCCGTCAAATCACCTATTTTGTCATAGTCTATGGATCAATTTAAATGCTCGTTCTATTAATTCGCGCCAAAAACTTCATACAAAAGTCCTCATGTCACAGTGGCGCCAACTGGAGTGCCGGCAGAAGTGAAAACTTGAATATTAACGTTGTGCATTTTTGATATTTTGGAATGGTTAGGGAATAATTTTGCACGAACTTCTTTAATTATCAGTATAAAAGTACTATCATTTATGTGGCAGAATACAATATTTATTTGTTGCGCTATCGTACACAAACATTACAATTTATATTACATTAAAAAGTTTATCTCTCAGAATTTCTCATTTAAGCGCACCTAGCGACATCTATTGTAAAAAAATGCATTTTCTTCGCAATAAAGCTGCCACCTCACAGTGTTTTATGGAACCAAAAAAATTTACATGTTCAGGTTTTTACATAAATAGATTATTTATACCCTAAAAAAGGCATGAGTTCAATTCCCAGAAGTCTAACTCAAATACTTTTTGAGAAAAAAAATCATGAACTTATCGTGACCTTTGACCTATGAAATCTAGAATATTTTTTTATAAAGTGAATATTAACAATATATTTTTTTAATAAATATGTGTCAATCGGGCATAATCAGAGGCGTATAAACGCGTTTCTTTAGCTTAAAAAAATGCATTGGTTTGGGAGCAGCAATTTTTTTTTTGTATTTCGTATTTATTGTTTTTTCTCCCTAAAAACGAAAAAGTGGAACCTAGAACTTCGATAGAAATAAACCTACGGATGTGGTCTATCATACATAAATAAGCCACGTGTCACTTTTGCGGCGATTAGAAGATATTCATTTTTAAATTTTTATGCTAGGGTTGACACCGAACCTGACCTCGAACGAACATTTTTAAAATATAAATTTGTGTATTAGTTTTGAACGAGTTTACAATAATGTAGATTTTAGGAGCTTACTACAGTACCTTTAACATATTTTTATGGGCTCCAAGCTCTATTTGCAAAAAAGGAACGCTTATGGTGATTCCCAGTCAAGGCGGAAGTCATTATAATGAATATCGATTTTCGTTTTCGGGTCTGAGTATTAACTATTAATTGTTTATTTTGTGTGTGTTTTGGAGACCCAATTAGACACAAGTTAATGCCTGCTTACCTCTACGTTTTTTTTTGTAACAATAATAGTTACACCTACTAACTGATTTATGCCCAAGATTTGTTTTTATTTTCTGATCGAATGCCTGAATGATTCTGAATGAATTATGAAATTTTTTCAAGCAACATAGTTCATTTTTTCGTTACCGTTTAGCGTGTAAGGTACAAAGTTAAAATGTGGTCGAACAAACATAAAGTATTCCTACATTATCACATCTACATTAGGTAGGTACCTAGTATATGTAAGTATATTGTATTCGTCCACAAGTGTTGTTAATTTATTCAATTGATTGACGGTATTAATTAACAAACAAAAAATTTAACATTTTCATTTAACTCATAGTTGACCTTTGTGACAATCCTAGATCATGAAAGTTGACCTTTATCTAAATTCTGTCATAACTTCTTAAAACCGCAAAAGTGAAACCTGATTTTTTTATGGGTGATAGAACTTGGCTTATAGAACCTTTCTGTACTAAATCCAGGTTCCACTTTTGCCGATATTTGGAGAAAAAAATTAAAAATCGAAATTTAAAAAAAAAATATTTCTCGGAAACTAGGACACTTATAAATAAAATAAAATTGCAAAATTATGCCTTCAATAATTCCTTATCAAGTGGCAAATATCTTATGTACAGATATGGAACCGTCTTTTGAGGAAATTAAATTGTTAATTTTTTAATGCTCAAATTTCAAAAACTTTGCTACTTCATATCTTTTTTTTAAAAGGAAATAGTGATCTGAGAATTGAACTCTTGCCTTTATTAGGGTATAAATAATTGATTTATGCAAAAATCTTAAGGTGTAAATTTTTTTGGTTCCATAAAACACTGTGCACCTGGACGTCCTAGATACAGACTTATTATTATAATACGATAAAATAAAATATTACTGTGATACGTCTAATATATTGAAAGTCAACAACCTTTCCAATTTTATTGATTTCGTCTTACGATCAGGTCACGTGGCCGAGTTTAACATTGTTTACCCATACAAAAAAGTGTATAACGCCGCTAAAGAAATTTTCACTTCAAAATATATCAAATCAGGTGTTCAAATCGGTCTAAATCAATATTTTGTGTGTCTAAAATGTCCAGATTTCACATTTTGTCAGAAATTTCTTTAATGGTATATACAGGGCGTCCCACGGCTACCTCACACGCAGGGAAAGTATATTAAATATTGAAGATAGGATATTTTACTGAAAGAAGACATCATTTTGTTTTTAATACTAACTAGAACTGCATTCAGATTTTTTTCACATACTAGTTATATTGTCCAGATAACGTTTTCGCGGCAACTTTAAAATGGAGTTTGTGATTTGGTTATTTTTACTGAAATACACAACAGAATGATGAATATCCACTTTTAACGGACTCCATAAACATTAGCCAATGACGTGAGATCGTTTTCTAAAACTTGTCAAATACCCTATTATTTTATGACATGTAATGCACATCATTGTAAATTGTTTAACAAAAAAATACAATTAATTTTATCCCCTTTTTGTAATAATATTGTTTAGCATGTTACGAGTACAAGACTCGTCTACGTCACTCATACGTCACGCGTACATTATGTGTTTCCCAAGTGCAGGTGGCTCGATTGAGCAATCGTGTTGAAAAGTGCTTATTAGACAGATTTAGTTAATGTAAAACCTTCGGACAGTTTTGGGAGTTGCTTGAGCTTCAATCGTGGAAGCATCTTGACGTATAATTTGTAAGACCGGATCATCGGGATCAATTAGTATAAGTAATTTTGTAAAACATTTAAATAAATAAAGTTATAATTTAAAGTTTAGTTTTTAAAAACCCTACCTGACGGCTCAATTCCGTAATTGGCGCAGTCGGTAGGATAGTCGAGTCAGTGCGAGCATCATACTTCGATCCGCCTGATAGTCGTGTCGTCGACGTGTCGACTATCTCTACGAATCTACGCGAAGCAGTCGTCAGACGGGAAAGAAGAATCAACTTCGAAAACCGGCGCTAATCCGAAAATCGATGGCCCATCACCACACTAAGCTAAGCATCCTGCTCCTGTGAGTTTTATTATATAAGTTACGTATTCCTATTGGTTGCCAGCGGCCCCTTTCCTGTCTCCCGTAGGACGTAATAAGTTAATTAAATAAGTTTGTTTTAATAGTTAGAAAGATTTCTAGATATTCCTATTGGTTGACAGCGGCCCCTTTCCTGTCTCCCGTAGGACGTAATAAGTAAATTAATTTTTTTATAGTTAGAAAGATTGCTAGTTATTCCTATTGGCTGACAGCGGCCCCTTTCCTGTCTCCCGTAGGACTTAATAAGTAAATTAATTAAGTTTTCTTTTAATAGTTTAGAAAGTTTTCAAGATTTTTTTTCCAAAGAAAAGTAGAGATATAGGACCGAATCTGCGGCGCAGTATTCGTCCTAATTCTAGAGAATTAAGGTTTCATCGCGAAATCGAATTATCTACATTAGAAAGCATAGAAGAGGAAATGGCGACCGAACAACAATCTGTAGCTTATTCAAACGATATGACAGAAAGGATTTGGAAATCTTTAAGACTAGTCCCTGAGTTTGATGGAAATTCGAACATTTTAATTAGATTTTTGAACATTTGCGACCAACTGATTTTAACATATGTTAATCCAGCTCCGGGAAATGAACTAAATAATTACGCTTTAATTAATGGAATTTTAAATAAAATAACCGGGCCTGCTGCTAAAACATTAGCAACAAATGGCATCCCCCAGGACTGGAATGGCATAAGAAATGCGCTAATTAACAGCTTTTCGGATCACAGAGACGAGTCCGCCCTATACACCGATTTATCTATGTTAACTCAAGGTTCCGATACACCGCAAATATTTTACGAGCGAGTTCAAAATTTACTTAGTATAATTATGACTTATGTAGAATTACACGAACAAATTAAAACAACAGTTGAGGCTAAACGTGAACTTTACAAAAAATTAGCTCTTCAAACATATACCAGAGGCCTAGCCGAGCCTTTAGGCTCACGTGTCAGGTGCATGCGCCCCGACTCGCTAGAAAAGGCCTTGGAATTTGCTCAGGAAGAATTAAACGTCTTATACTTACAATCTAAAGCCAGTAACCCGCTAATTTCTAAGAAATCGATTAACAATGCCCCGTTTAATTACTCACCTTTTAATTCGCATGACTCACTTATGCCTCCGAGACAATTCAATTCTGGAATGCCTACACGTCAATTTAAACCTTTTAAATATCCTTTCATGCAACAAGACACTTTCCCTAACAATTTTGCTAATAATTTTGTACCGAAAAATATTTCTTCTAATAACAGCTTTAGGCCTACCCCCGCACACAATAATTTTACATATCAACAAGGACCTTCAAGGACTCAGCAGATGATGAGAGCCTTGCCGCGTTCTAACATGTCCACTGGTTTCCGAATCCCCCCTCGAGGAAATCTTGCACAGAACTATCAAAACTTTCCTAAGCCTATGAGCGGCATTA